GGTGCCCTTTATAAGAGGAGGCGAGGCGAGGGCTTGGCGTGCGCGATTGGCAGGCGAGGAGACCGGGGCGGACACGGCGTCGCCGGCGATGCGTGCGGGCGGTGGACTCCGCTCGGGGTCAGGGACGGTTGCGCGCGTGGGTGGGCTGGCTGGGCCTTGGCCTGGCTTCGGTGCTGGGCCGGCCTAGTCGGCGAAGGGAACCCTTTTTTTAATAAAACATTTTCCAGAAAAACAACAAAAATAAAATAAAATAAAAGCAAAATAAAACTTTTCATAGGCATATAATATAAATTTTAAGAAAAAGATTTTCTACAATGTGAACATTTTTATAACTTTAAATAAAATCTACAAAAATTATAATAAATCAAACAATGCCACTGATTCAATAAAACCCACAAAAAATCATTTTAAAAATACCAAAATGACTTCAAATTAATTTTTATCCAATTTTCTATTGTAGGGAATCATGTTACCCTATTTTCCATATATTTTATTTTTGGAGAAAAATAATTTGAATAAAACTCAAGTAACCCAGTATTGAAAATAATTTCAAATGGATTTTAAATTTGAGTTTCTTTGAAACTCCCAACTCATATTTCATATAATTTGAAGAAGTCATTTTATCTTCTCTCGTGAAAATCATTGAGTTGCATAAAGTTTCAGAATTGGAAATATTCTCAAATGGAATTCAAATATTTTCAACACCCCTTGTCATTTATATAAATGGAAGAAGTCATGTCATCTTCTCTCCAGGGTTTTGTGGTGAAAAGAATTTGAATTCACGGAGATCTTAAAATGCAAAAATGAAAGTTTGGGAAAGTCCTTTTATTCCATCTCATTTAACTTTCAAAAAGTTTAGAATTTCACTCAATCAATCGCACAACAATCAAACAATCAGTCAAATCTATCTATTTATTATAACATTCCAAAATTTAGAATTTTGGGATGTTACACCGACGATCGAATCTCGGGCAAGTAACATACCGATGACAAAGGAAACAACATATGCTGTTGTGCGGTTTGACCAAATAAAGATCTTCGTAGAATATGTAGGAACCAATATGAGCATCCAGGTTCCGCTATTGGTTATTGACTGGAGATGTGTCTCGGTCATGTCTACATAGTTCTCGAACCCGTAGGGTCCGCACGCTTAATGTTCGAGGGGATATGTATTATGAGTTATGTGATTTGATGTACCGAAGGTTGTTTGAAGTCTCGGATGTGATCACGGACATGACGAGGAGTCTCGAAATGGTCGGGACATAAATATTGATATATTGGACCATGTTATTCGGACACCGGAAGTGTTCCGCATAGTTTCGGATAAAACCAGAGTGCCGAAGGGAGAGAGGGCCGCAGCCAAGAGGTGGCGCCCCCCCCACACACAAGGGGAGTCCGAATAGGACAAGGGGAGGGGGCGCGACCCCTCTTTCCCTCTCCCTCTCCCTCTCCTTCCTTCTTCTCCTAGTTGGACTAGGAAAAAGGTGAACCTACTCCTACTAGGAGTAAGATTCCCCTCTTGGGGCGCGCCCTAGGGGCCGGCCGGCCCTCCCCTCCTCTCTCCTTTATATACGGGGGAGGGGGCACACCATAGACACACAAGTTGATCTTTACCCGTGTTCGGTGCCACCCCTCCACAGTTTTACACCTCGGTCATAATGTCGTAGTGCTTAGGCGAAGCCCTGCGTTGGTAACTTAATTATCACCGTCAACACGCCGTCGTGCTGACGAAACTCACCCTCGGCCTCAGCTGGATCAAGAGTACGAGGGATGTCACTGAGCTGAACGTATGCAGATCATGTAGGTGCCGTGCGTTCGGTATTTGATCGGTTGGATGGCAAAGACATTCGACTACATCAACCGCCTTACTAAACGCTTCCCCTTTCGGTCTACGAGGGTACGTAGACACACTCTCCCCTCTCATTGCTATGCATCTCCTAGATAGATCTTGCGTGATCGTAGGAATTTTTTTGAAATATTGTGTTCCCCAACAATCCTCTGCATGGAGACATTGCAAGCCCTGTTCAAGAAGGCCACAAATCATGGCATCTTCGCCCCTTTGGCTAGAAATGGAGTGCAACAGCGGCCGTCTATGTTTGCTGGCGACGTGATGGTATTTTTCAAGCCCACTAATCAGGAGATACAGGCTTGCACAGAGATCCTAGCACTGTTTGGGGCTGCCTCGGGCCTCGTGGTGAATCTATCTAAGAGCACGACACTACCCATCTGGTGCTCAACGGAGGAGTTGGAGGCAGTTTGCACCTCCCTGGCCTGCACGAGTGCATCGTTTCCTTGCAAGTACCTTGACCTCCCGCTCTCAATCAGAAAGGCCACCTCTGCGCAGTTCCAATACATGGTGGAGCAATTCACTAGTCACCTACCCAACTGGAAGGCCGCTACCTTACCCAAAAGCGGTCGGCTCATCCTCATCCTCTCCGTGCTATGTGCAATCCCTATACATGCCATGCTTGCCCTGAATATACCTCCGAGAACCCTCACGGCCCTGACAAAGATTTGTAGAGGTTTCCTCTGGTGTGGAAAGATGGAAGCGCGGGTAGGCAACTGCGCTGTGGCATGGGACTCGGTGTGCCGCCTTAGGTGGGTTGGAGGACTCGGCATACCAAACTTGCGGTGGTTGAACACCGCCATGCTGGCCAGATGGCCGTGGCTACAACATACTGATCATTCAAGACCTTGGGCTAAAGTCCAGATTGCAGTTCCAGCGGAATCGAGGACACTCTTCCATGCTGCGACTACAACTACGTTGGGAAATGGAGACGGGACACTCTTTTGGGAAGACAAGTGGATCAACGGCTACCGAATCCAGGACCTGACACCCATGCTCTACTTGAAGGTATCAAGACAAACGAGATCTACCCGAACGGTCGCAGAGGCACTCGCAAACCACTCGTGGGCATCTGACATTGGGCCTGATCTTACGACCAACATGCTACGCCAGTTCTTGGATATATGGCAGCGAGTAGATGGAGTTGCCCTGCAAGAGGATGCGCAAGACAAGATACAGTGGGCGTGGGAGAAGGATGGCATGTTTTCGGCGCGCTCGGCATACGCGGCCAAGTTTTCTGGACTTGAGGTATCACCCACGACGGAATTCACGTGGAAGTCACGGGCACCCCTATAGTGTCGCTTCTTCGTTTGGCTAGCCATGAAGAACAGGTGTTGGACCTCTGACCGCCTTGCTCGACGGGGACTCCCCCACCAAAGCTCGTGTCCACTATGCAGCCAACATGAGGAGACCATCACCCACATCATGATCGGATGTGTCTTTGCGAGAGAGGTCTGGGATAAGGTATGCCTGACCTTGGGATGACCAGACCGTGCTCCAATAGCGACGGAGTCACTACCAGAGTGGTGCATCATGCAAGAGGAAATTGGGCAACACCGGAAGCTAGCAAGGACAATTTGCATCTTGGTCCTATGGGAGTTGTGGACACACCGCAATGCAGTGGTATTTGACGGAGTGGCGCCATCCACACTCACGGTGCTCAAGAGCATAGGAAGCAAGGCCAGGGCTTGGAAGCAGGCAGGACTACTGCGAGGAGAAGTCGAGGCTTTCTTCGTTGGCCTTGCATTGTGGGAGAATAGCAAGTAGTCACTAATAGCGAGATAGGCAGGTGGGGTGGCCGTTGAGCCATCTGTACATAACATTGTAGCATCAAATGTGGAGGGTTTCTACCCTTTCCTTCTTTAATACTCCCTCCATTCCAAAATATAGTGCGCCTGTGCTTCCCGAGGTCCAACTTTGACCATAAATTTAACCAACGAGACCAACTGCGGGAGAAAAAAATTATATAATTGAAAACTTCTTTCAAATACGAATTCACTGATATAATTTTTGCTTCTGCCGCAATCGATCTTGATAGTTAAATTTACGGTCAAAGTTGAAGCACGTGAATAGAGGAAGCACTACATTGTGAAATGGAGGGAGTATATGATACGCACACTCATGCGTATTCCAGAAAAAAAAGTATGAGTGGTGCTTGAGTAGTAAAGTGTTCTTTGGGATTCCAGAGTCCCCACTACTCATATAATCTACGTGACAAGTGTGGAGCATAGCTCTTTGTCGGATCCCTAAGCTACTCTTCATGTGCATAAGCGGGCAGATCTGTGTACCAAATAGGTTCTACTCTGCCGAGGCATCATCCATGCCGACGGTGGGGGGCGGGGTACTCGG